ACAGGAGGCTCATGCCTCGCATCGTGTAGTGTCTCATTTTAAATGACTGGATGGAAAGGCATGAACTTGCAGGCTTTCGTTCCCTGGTTCTCGAGAACAGGCAACACCTCATCTATGTACCAGAGGTAACGCTGTGCATTGAGCTCGAGTTGTATGCATGGCGTCATGTGTTGCACCGCCACAAGACGCGCATCATAATGGAATATTTAAATCTAACAGTAGATGGAAAAAGTTAACCTGCTGACTTCATTGTTTCCCAGCAAAATGTATATGGAAGGAATGGTATCCTGAGGTTCCAGTCACAGCTAACTCACTTGATCGCACAGCAAAGAGACAGAAAATGTTCTAAGCACACAAGCAGTTTTCTGTGAATCTTAGGTTATCAGACGAGCTGCAACACACACTGACAAACGATACAATGGCAAGCATTCATTAGGATATAGCGACTAGGATGCAAAAGCCTGTTTTTTTTTACATAAAAAACATAGGGGGGAAGAAAAAAACACACCATCGTTTTCTTCGGGAGATTTACGGCACTGAGGGCAGGATACTGGATGCAATAAATTAGTGTAAAACAGGTTTTCCATAGCTAATAATTTTCACTTTTAGAATAAATGAAAGAAAAGTGATTCATCAGAAACCAGCACGAAATGAAAAAGTGAAGAAAGGAGTGGAGAAGATGAATAAGGAATAGATGCTTTCAGGTAAATATTGAAATCATGGAAGGCACACGATGAAAATATGACCTCCCCATGATTAGGGTGCTTTTGAAAGATGTTCTAGAGCAGGGGTGTCGAACTCAAATCGGTCGGCGGGCCACATTCCTTACCCTGCAGATGCCTTCAGGCCACGCCCATAATTTTTCACCGAAATTTGTGCTAACAGTCAATGCAAGCGGAAGTTTCAGGAATAGACGACAGGCCGGATGAACCACCTCCGCTGCCCTGTGGGTTTGACACCCCTGTTCTAGAGCATAACAGTCCTCCTCATGTTCTGGAATTTTTATTTCAACTACTAGAGGTAGCATGAGCTCAGGCATTAATCCAAATCCAAAAGCATGGGAGAAAATCATCAAGAGGGGATATGTCAGGAGAGAGAGGGAACCATTCAGGAGAACAACAAAGGAAGTAGACATCACATTCAAAAGACATGGTGCAAAAAAGTAGACAATGGCTCTAGTCATACCAAAAGACAGTTCTCCCACAGGATTTGGAGTCTTTACTATCCAACCCTTTATGATGAGTTAGGGAGTGAATTTTACTGCTTTTCCATATGAAGCAGGAAGAAAAAGGTAGAGCATTTTCTGAAACTATTAGTGGCAAGACATTTTTTCTCCTTCCGTTGCTTTACATTCACATAATTCTCCTCCTACCATTTTCCACCAGAAGGAACAATTTTGAATGGTTTGGCTTTAACTCAATCTTTTGCGAATGGGCAAGGTGAATTTTCCTAGTCAGATCAGAGGCCATCAGAGTCATCAGAGGTAGATAGCCCAATTGCAAGGATGCACAGTACTGACAAGGCTCAAGTTTATATCTATTTATATTCATTCCTTAAACTGAGACTAAATCACTCACAGGTCTGTCATAGTCACTGGCACATTCAGAATCAGATGGTAACTTCAGGCAAGTTTAAGGACATGTCAAAATGAAAGTTCAATTGGTCTAATTGTAGATGTTTGTGTGAGTTATTAGGTCACACGTTCCAAAAAATCAACACCAAAAAGTTCAGCTGTGCTAATGAAGCTTGGTAGTGTGTGATAACACTGACTAACTCTTCATGGTTGTAGGATGTCTCTTTACACAGAGTAATTGCCAAAAAGCCAAAGTGTAGAGGGTAGGGGGGAGGATGGTCAGCTGATGGCAGATTTTAAAATTGTATGGAATGTCATTGGGAGGGGAACATTCATACTACTGGGTGATGAGAGTCAACCAAATAGTAGTGGCATCTGTGCCCTTTCTTAATCAAGCCTCAACCAACCAACTTCAAGCTATTCTTTTCCACATTACTAGGAGCCCTTCTACTAAATTTCATCAATGGACCTCAACTTGTTGGTGTTGCTCTTTTAGCCATGGATGTAATATATTTTCCCAAAATAAAGAATATTCAAGGATTCCAGCTCTTCACATGACAGCCTCCTTCAGTAACAGAATTCCCTCTGTTTTTATATTTGGAAAGGGATATATGATAAGTAAATCCATGAATAGATTAAGTAGTTGTTTACTGCATATTAGAGGGAAAGAATGAAGAACGAAATGGAAAAGCAAAATCATGCAACTGGATGTTAAGGTAATTTTGATTAGTAATGGTAAGAATGAGAGTGACACCTCTGCCCTCAGCAAAAGAGGAAGTCAAACAGCTAAAACTTTTCGAGATGTACAAGCATACACTGACACTAACCTCTCATTATGTCATCACTCAAGTCATCATAGAAATCTTAACTAAACAGTACCAGTCCAGGTACATATCTGCCATTCTGCTGGCCCCTATACCACAGGAATGATCTACTTTGCCACATCCTAACCATCTAATCTTGGAATAAATAATAGCTGTCATTGGTACGTTATAGGCCAATATGAAAAGGCCCAGACATGTTCTCAAGGGTTCATGCATCTGCATTGTGTGAAGATGGGAGAAGAGTATAAGTGTATGAAATGTAGGATGCCAGATGTGGCAGTTCACATATACACCTACCAACCCTGTCTATGTGGCTGTAAGCAGCCACTCCCTCCTATTGTCTACTTTAGATCAGTCATCAAGGGGAAGTGGATGTTTTAGTCATAGACTGGCACCCTGACCCAAGCAGAAAGCTGTACATAAGAACTGGTTTGTACTGTCTGGTTGCTATGGATACTGTGAATAGCAGGAATGAAAAAAAAAGTGACATCAATTGCAAAAATCTGCCATTTCCTCCCCATAGTACCCAAGGGAATGGCAGATAAAATGTTAGACATTACAATGCAGCATATGCTAACATATTAGGCCCACACCACCACATGAGCCAAAGCACATGCACAAGTAGATTCAGGACAAGATTGCAAAATGCCACCTCAAGTTCAGGGGGATGGATTTCATTAATACAAAGGACACTGGTGCATTCTTCACTCAAGTTAACCTGAACCAAGATGGCCAATACTTGAGTGAATATAATTCACTCAAGTATTGGCCATTACATTCCAGTTTGTCCATCTCATCCTTCCATTAAGCCAAAAGACATATGAGCCTAACAAAATAATTCAGAAATGCTCACCAAGAAAAGAAAAGTAGAAGACCACCTCCAGCCATGTAGGAATCAGCATAGAATCCACAATATAGGAAATCTTCAGAAAGGGCATCCAAGCAGAAGCAAAAAGGTACATTGCTAAAGTTGGATTCTGATGAAAATCTTATGGGCAGGAAGAAATCCTCCATGACTTCTCACATGGAGAGATTGCAAGAAAGAGTGAGTTGCTTGGGAGCCTGTCTAGGTCTGATTAGGTAACAACAGATATAACTCCCTCCATGTTGGAGGAGATGCTTCCTTTCAGGGGTTTAGCAACATTGAAATTTGACCAATATCCAGATGCCAAACACCCCTACACTGATATGAATTTTTTAAAAGAACCCTTTGTGGTCAATCTTCTTTATAATGTTGCGACAGCTTGACAAAGAACCACAAGGGGTTTAAGGAATTAAACAATGCTGCACCCATGAAAAAGTCACAGTAAAAAGTGAACCAGAGGAGTCAGCCGAAAATAAAGGTGAGCCCCAAATAGGATCAACATTAATGCACAACTTAGAGATATTAAAGATTTTCAACTTCAATATTAATACCTGGGGATTGATTCACCAAATATCAACACCAATATGCATCAACATCAGGAATATCTGTTGATTACCGATACCAATGATAACATGGTCACACCCTTACTTAATTCGTGAAGGATAGCATGATAGCAGAATTCGGACAAGGAAAATCTATCTCACAAATGTAACCTGTCCATTACACTAGCAAGCTTAATGTGGGGAGCATATCATTGTTCTTTATTCTTGGTCCCATTGTGGAAGGTAGTGATGCAGAGGGAGAGAGTTTTGGTCTTTGCTCAATAAAAGTCACATCAAAGCACCTCAAATAACAACAGCCATGAAGATTTCTCAAGGAGATATGATTGCAACTCACATTTTGGAGGACAGAATATGAACAAGGTATATCAGGTTTAAGTAGCCACTGGTGGTACAAACAGAATTGACTGCAGTGTCTATCCAGCACATACATGGAATAGCAAACAAAAAATATTTCCAAAATTGAAGCATGTTATCTTCAGTAAAGCTGGAGCATTTTCATGCAGCAGGCAATGTATATAAGGCAACATATTTCTCACAAATTGTAAAATTACATGGAATTTGTCCAGCCAAAACAAGGTTATAAGCAATTTTAAAAATATATTTGAAACAGGACATGGATAGGAGTCTATTGGGAGAAGGAAACACCTTTACTTTATGGCTAAATGTCATGGAGGCCACACTACACATCTCTTGTAGTATGTTTTGCATTAGATTTTGTCATTTTGGGACTGCTGAATTACTGAGTAATCAGCATGAGAGTTTTGATTTTATTTGTTTAATTCATGAGAACATAAATCATGTCATAAATAATAAATTCAGCATAGGAAGTCACAGGTTGGGACTCACCTAGGTGAGTTTGCTTAGAAGTCTCTTCCTATTTCTCTCTCATTTACTTTGGAGGGCTGAAAGTCTCTCTGAAAGGACTTGAAAGAACTTCTTTGGCTTTTTCAAAATTAAATTTTCTTTAATATAATTGCTCATAGCCTTGCCAAGTCATTTGGAAGATGTTTCACAAGCCTGCTGGGAACATATCAGCTCATGAAGAAGGCAAGACTTGCAAAATACCTCACCAAGAGCATAGATATATAAATTCAAAGTCTGAAGCTATTTTTTGCAGTACATTTTATAATTAAAGGTTTCACAATCATTCTGCATAAATACAGGAGATATAATTTGGGGGCTGATTATTAAGCTACCCTAAAAATCTAAAAATCACAGAGTACTGGATCAATGCCTTCCATCACACTCCAGTAAGGCCTAAATCTCACATATGAATGAACCAACCCATTAAGGACTATGACTGTACGAGCATGGTTTCAAACTTTGCAAGTTACATTTCTCTGCGTCTAAACAATTGATGTGGCTTACTGCATTCAGAGGGTTTTTTTTGGACTTGACCACATAAGCTTTGTCCATGGGCCTGTTTATGATCACAGATTATGAGTAACCTTCCTAAGAACAGACCATTATGTACCCCTCAAATGTGTCCCCCTATTTAAAAAAAACCAAACAAACTCATTCCTCAACAAGTTAAAGGGGGACTGAGACCAAAACTGCAAAACAGATGGATCAAATGTCACTAATTCCTAGCTCTATTGGCCAGGAATCTGGGACTGGGGGATATATCTGTCTGAACTTTCATCAGATCCAAGGGAAACTTAAATGGGAATGATTATCATGTTTCAGGAATGTAAAACAAAAATTTGTCAGATTCAACATTGGTAAAGGCAAGGATGGAGAATTTATAAATTGGTAAGAAAAAAAAACTAAAAGTCTAAATTGCAGTAATTAACAGTACTGGAATGGAAAGCTAGTCAGATTCCAGTGCTATCTTCTTCAATGCTCTAACCTCAGAAATGGCTTTTAGTTCAGGATATGTACTAAGACTCAGTGAGATATCCATTAATATGAGACCTTGAGGCAGAACACAACAGTGGAATCATGGCTTAGGATTTACATAGAAAAACTTATTGCTCCAGGTTATTGTTGTCAGTAGTTAAGTACGTATCAGTACACTCAAATGGATAGAAAAAGATATCTCTGGCTAAAGATAGTTCTATGCCATAGGGGTTTCAAAATGCTCAGGAGGATATAATCTTGCATGGGCAGGCAATACTGGAGCAAGACAAGATGGATCATGAAGTAAACATCATCTGGAGAAAGAGGAGTGAGTGACGCAACTGCTGCTTGCTCAGGAAATACAACACTGGGCCCATCACGGTCTATATCCAAGAAAAAAGACCATAGAAGATATCAGAAATTAGCCATGATTCTCACCCTCAGCACAACAGAAAATGAATCTTTGCTTACATAACTCAACAAACAAAAAGGGATTAAATTCTCATTCTGAATCCTACATCTCTCTTCATCTTGGGGATGGAATGGTAATGCTTTGCATTACAGCCACTTAGGAGGATAAAAAGCAAATTCAGTCCTTTCACAGCCAAAATGAAATTGCACAATGAAAAGACTATTAATGCACCTTCATCCTGAACTTTTTACTGCTTCCTCTTCTAAGGGTAGGGACTGAGTTAGGAGATCTCTTTCCTGACTTTAATCCTTCAGATGAGGGTTTTCATGTTTTTAATCAATGACAATGGAACATAGGTTGTCAGCCTTTCATAACATACTTGATGTGAATTTCAGCAAATATTTATGCATGTAGACAAAGGATGGAAAAGCATTGAATATTCAGGTATCAACCATTCAGTCTCTCCATTTCCTCTTTCCATGGATAAATGTTTTTACATTAAACACACCATGGATGATGAAGGAAAATAACATTAATAAGAGATGGATTCTGCAAACCTGAAAGAGGAGAGAAGGCCTTGTGAAGGTGAGGACAAAAGTGAGTTTTGTGGAACGAAGTTTTGTGGACTCAAATTCCACTTCCATCCGGGGCTTGAAAAGATTGTCAGATGATAAAGCAATCCGTCTATTCTCCTTCCACTCTGTCACTTTCATCATCATTGCATACTCCCCTGCATTCCATGAGAAAATACAAGCAAGAGACAAAATGTCACATAGGGATCAAAGCAGACCAACTTTGTTAAGGCTCCTGTTCATAGGGATTTAGATGAACAGGATCACAAGATCATATTCATTTATTAGAACCAGGGAAAAATAAAGAAGATAAAATAAAAACCTCCTCAAAATATATTATTGTTCTGGCCTCTTGGACCTTAGTATGATGAGGTTTGACTGTACCAGGTTTCAGATAAATAAAAAAAACTGAACAGATTTCATGTGAGTAAAATAAAAATCATGTGATTTTATGCAAATTTATAAAAATAAAGTCACAAGAATGAGTTATCATCAATATCCATACAAAAATAAAAAAAAGCCTTCTGATTTTTCATTAGAAAAAAAAGATGATGAGATGTACCATAGAAAGGAATGTTGTAGATGGCATAGTAACGCTTCCCAATCCCAATAGGTCTTGAATCTCCTGCCTTCAGATGTGAGACCCATGCAAACCACTGCAATATAAAACCATAAAATCTAGCCTTGTTTCAAAGTTTGGCTACTTGAATAAGTATTATCTTATAATATGGCCGACATAAAATGAAGAAAAGTAGTGCTGAAGTCTAGTCAATCGAGTCTAACTGAAAATAAAACAATAACTTTCAGACAGTCAACAAAAGTCAAAAGACTCTCCATAACCTGTCCTACAAAGTCTCCATTTGACCAATTAAAGATTCCAGTAAAAAGTCATTCAAACTACTTGATTGCAAGAACTTGAATGGATAGAAACTCTAAGTATATCCTCCTTCACAAGTCAGACAGATTATTTCCATGGTCGAATCACTCCTTACTATAGTAAACACAGAAGCCTGGCTGAAAAGGATTGAGTATATCCTAATCTCAATCCAAAACCTTCACTTCATCCTTTTCTCAATATTAGAGAAGATCTTAGGAAAAAAATAAAGAAGAAAATACCCCTTTAAGAGCATAAACCTAGTCTCAACATGAGCAACAAAAATATGACTGACTTTGGTGACATGATCAGGCTGAGTGAGGAAGGCAAAGAGTTCATCTGGGCTGACATCTATGACACCTGTCTGAGAACACGCCCATCTAGAAGTGTCAGTCTCCAATTGAGAAAGAAAGGCAATACCTAACATAACACATCCCCAAAACAGAGCCCATCTTGATATATTCATGCCTGGAGAAAGACAAAAATGTAATAATCATAAGTTCTGGAGTCTTCCATACTTCTTTTTCTGGAGCAGATTCTACCCAATGTGATGGATGTTCAAGGACCATTAACAAAAGCCTTGACCTTTTCCTACTTAGGAATACATTGCATATCACAATTTCCAAGGCAGTGCACCCTGGGTTTTGCCTCAGAATGATGAATGTCTATGTGGTGTCATCATCAGGGCTGCTCAATGTCACAGTCAATTCACAAAAAAATAGTTTTGTCACAAAATCTGATTCATTGTGACATTGTGTACATGCTTTGAATTATTTTCTTTAAATTGTTACATGTAGAAAATATATGGTGATGTATAAATTTAATATATATATTCTGGAATTATTACTGTATGTAGCTCCTCCAGTTACCAGTTAGGATGGGCTTATGCCAGGGCTGTCATGACAAAATATCATTAACACACTGACCACCATGAAGTGCATGGGTGCACCCTGTGTTTCACCTTCTCCTAGGGGTATAAGAACGACTTTGGTCTTGGAAAGCCACCAGGCCAATATGGCTGTGGTGGTCAACATGGTAATGAATGGTAAACAGGGCAAGAAAGATAAACAGAAATCATCTGGAAGAGAACATCAAGCAGGGTGTTTACTTCAGCAAGCTCTGCATGATCAAAAGTCTATTCTACATTGTGCCATGGACTATGTTCACTTAAATTAGGTACTTAAAAATTTTACTTCTGGCAATTCACTTCTCAGGCAGTCATCACAGTGCTTGATTAAATCATCTATAACACCAAGTAACAATGGTGACATCAATGTAATGTGGCAGCCCTACTTTAGATCAGGGCCTAGTGGGTGACATTGGTCTGATCTTGACCACCATCAGCCATATAGGTCTTCTAACCCTCAAGATGAGGGCTTGGCATCATCTACAACCACACCAAGATGTTGAGTTGTATACTGGGTTTTCTTGATCAGTGTCTTCTGTGGGGGTATCTGACAGGCTGGTAGTAGGTTAGTATTAATTAATGTACTTCTTAAATGCACCAAAAGTAGCCACATCATACTGCAGGAGTTATGTGCTCAAAACCACCATCATCCAAGCGATGAAACTAAATTTAAAAAAAGGCCAATATCATACATATATTTTTAAATGACAGGTCTCGCATGCTTCTCCTAGCCTCACTTTATTATTTTATTAAGTATTCCCCAACAGCTAAGATTGTCTTCCATTCTTATAGCTATTTACTAGGAATTACTGCCCAAAGGTCTATACCAGGAAGCCTGAATTAATATCCCAGCTTTATCTCCTATGGAGACATTAATTCCTCCTTAAATCTTAAGCCCACTATGTTCTACAGTTTCTTTAGTACCTGTGCACCTCCCACCTTGAGAGAGTTCCAATCCACTGAATCATATTCAAGAATGGGGCAAACTAGCTGCACATACCTTTAGCTCTTTTAAGAACAATCTGCTTAAATGAAACCTATTTACTGAGGCTTTTTTTGGCAAATCAAGTTCTTTGCTAGCTACAGAGCTTAAGGTGCTAATATAACACACTTTAATGCATTTTAAATACAAAGCAAAGAATGGCTACAGGTCAGAATATGCAACCTCATTACGGATATACAATCAGCTACCATTGTACCACTATACACGTTCAGTAAATTTTTAATTTACTGAACGTGTATAGTGATATTTAAATTCAGCATTTTAAATATCACAAAAAAATATGAATCTTCAGCTAGAAATTAAAAGTAATGTGCTAAAGGAAATAGATAATGTCAAATACCTAGTGTGATTCTTACTAACCAATTGAACTGGAAATTACATGTGAATAACTTTTGTATAAGAATAAGTAAAAATAATTGGGTACTACACAAAATAAGAAACCTCATCCCAAGATCAACATTAAGAAACATATACTTTCCCCAAATCAATTCCCATCTCTCCTATGGTTTTGAAATCTGGGGCAGAATATCCATGACACAGCTAAATTGTGTAGAAAAAACATTGAATAGTATGAATCATGAGTTAATTGCATCCAAAGACATCAACAAAATCTCTTTACAACAATTGGCAGCTTCTTACATTCCCAAATCTTGCTAAGTTGTGAGTTACACATTTTGTATGAAACTCTTCAATGATCTTGGATGCACCATAGTCCACACAACAGCAAGCACAACTCAGTTATCTAAAGACCTACGTCACTAGGAAACAAGACATTCCACTCAACAAATTTGGTACATTTGAAATCCCAAACAAAATATGGGTACAGGTCAATTAATGCAACTTCTGTGAGAATATAAAATCAGCTACCCCTGGCATGGAAATTTCAAGTCTTAAGAAGTTTGAAACAAAAGTAAAGGACCACTGTATTTTTAACCCTAGAAGTGCCAGAAGCAGCATGGTAGCCTACAAACGTAAATTTTTATTGATGATTGGCACTTCTTGGGTTAATCAGATTTAAAACATCTACTAAAAATACCCACAGACTTACTGATTCATACCTTGATGATAATAAACCAACCTGGGTAGGCCAAGATGGGCCACTGGCTTCTGACAAGTCACAGAATTGAAGCAGCACTATTCCCTTATCTATTCCTTTACTTATTCATTATTCTTTAATTATCTCTCCTCCAAAATTCATCCACTAACAGCATATATTATTTGCTCTTACTCTGCTAGTATTTTTTTGTGTGCACATCATTATCATCAACTCAGAGTGTTTGTTTTCCTGAATATGTTCTTTAAAATCTCTCTCTTGTATTTGTGCCTCAAATCATGCATCTCTCTCTTTCTCTCTTACATGAGCTTCATTCCATCCTGATGGTGGCATTGAATATAGCTAGCCAATGCAAAACAGTTTGTACACTTATTTCGTAAGGAATAACTAAATTAGACCTTCCTCCTTTTCAGAAGCTTATTTACTTATTCATTATTTATTGTGATCTTATAATACTGTTTTGAAACTGAGTGGAAAGACCTAATGATAGGCCATAGTAGACCTAGAATACCCTTTATGGGTGATCCATGTACGCTGATCAATCCACTCTCAACGTTAGCGTGGGCCTAAACCCATCCTAAGTCCTCATTAGTAAGGTTCGACAAGTACAAGCATTAACTGTTAGGATTGGCCCAAGGCTGTAGCAGGTGGAGCTACGCATCCAGTCAGACTAATGCTAGGCTATCACATGACAAATCCAGTCATTTCGCAAAGCCTGAGCAAGTCCAGAGCAAATCGTTGGGCCATTAGGCAGGTGTTGCCCATGGTTACCGGCCTGGGTTCATCCAAACAAGAGCGAAGGGGACACAGCCGCAGACCACGTGGCCCCTTGATCAACACAAGGATGCCATGTGCCCAAAGTTCACGTACGAAAACGGGTGACGGTCATCTTCCGTAATAACTCAGTGTACCACCGTCTCACTGGAAGCTTAGCGATAAGTATAGCATACACCATGTTGCCATTGTCTTTTAAATAGCAAATAAATAAATTACATATAATCAAATCCATGGGGCACACTTGTTTGAACCACTGGAAGGGTAATAAGTTTCTATCGGTCTCTTTCGAATGGGCTATAAAGTGATATTGTGTTCATGGAGAGGCAGGTCCTTAACTCATTCGCATCCACAAGCGTACTGATAAGCATCGTCCCAAGTTCTTCCCCCTAGCCTATGGCCTACATACGCAGACCTCGCGCGTCAAGCTACGGCAGAATTCTGTGTCAGATCGACCAAAAAGGTCCTGGATGAGAAAGGGTTCAACAACCAAAGCCCAGCAACCCAGAGGGCTCTTTAACAACCACCATCCAGCTATTGTAAATTGCAAGGCAAAAGAAATCCACTAAGGAAACGATACCGAAGCTCTAAGCTATTGATAGATTATCGATGTTATTCGACCGGTTACGCTAGGGAGTGTACGGCCGGCCTAGAGTATCAACAGCTAATTCGACCTGTTTCTGCAGTCAACCTACCCTAAGGCCAATGTTATTAAATGGAGATCGGATTTACTACCCATTCCGAATCCTAGTTGAAGTCCCTCTTTACGCTCTGTTGACTGTCAATGATTAGCTCCACGTGTTTCACAGACGAAGCTAAGAAAAAGCTCTAGACCAATGAGCCAACCGACAATGTTCGGCATGCACTGAGATGGCGATGCACACTAAGCCAATGATGAGTGAATACACATTGGGCATGGGATGGGCACCCCAGTTTCTGACCGGTCTCCAGTAGTTGGCTAGCGAAGCTTAAATCCATCATAATTAGAATGCTTAAAAACGGCCAGACTATCAACATCTTCCCGTACGAGGACCTATTACTAGTGTTTCCCGGTGTGCGCACAGGGTGTCCACTACCTATGGGAATCGTATCAGCGTGGCCAAAAACTGGGGTGTTTACCATACTACTCCTTTCCTCATCCAGGAATTTTAAGGTTTTGTGCTTCAAAATAAATAATTTTTTTAAATCAAATACCGTATTCCAATGAGGGAACTGAGTATTTCCTTTTTACAATAGCTAGAACTTAGTTATGTCCTTATATACAGGTTCGGATTGTGGCAAATATATTCGAATTGCCATTTAATTCAATACCGGTGGTCGAGCTTTTTCTGCCCTCCTCTAGCTAGGTGAAACTTTTTTTTTTTTTAGCAACCTCTCAGGATTTAGATCTATCTGACGACCATATGTAGGAATAATGCTCCCCTCTCCATATGCAATTATAGCATCGCCGTCTGAGCATTCCGATCATCCTCTGTCGGCTCTTGAGCCTAAAACTTTTAGTTAGCATAGCCTTGGCATGAGACAGTTTGAGCTGATCATCGCCAGTCGATAGCATGTACAGAGGGAGTTTAGCCAGAATTGTCCTTGAAATGGGTAGTACTTTTGTTCTCTATATTGTATTATTGGTCTTATAGGTTGACCTCAGAAACAATAAATAAAATTTAGCGGAAGACGTTCTATGCTGGCTAAATACCCCTTGACGAAACCAGTTAAAGAGCATCGATAATCTAGTCTAGTGCTTTGGCACCTT